GACTTGCAGGGAGGATACATCCCACTCTCCTTTGATGATCACCTCTATCAGCGCGAGGTAGCTCGAGAAGTCAAGGCATGCTTTCCACCCTGCATGTGCTCCAACTGTATGGAGCACATGGGAACTGCACTAGTACAAAATCTACCCAACCTAACGATACACAATTTCATGGATTATGTATTGAACAAGGTGCAAATGGCGCCTGCAGGACCAATGAGCCTCAAAAGGAAATACAATTTAAATCGTTCATCTACACGGTCAAGCAACCCTACGTATAAAGCGGAAGATCTTGCGGTTCTTAAAACTATTCTAGAGCTGGTCTCTGGATATCCGTTGCGGATATCCGCTATCCGCTGGCGGATATCCGCCAGTGCCGACGGATACCCGCCAGCGGATGCGGCTGCGGATGCGGATGTCCCCTTTCCCCTGAAATCCTGGCGGATATCCGGGTATCCCAGCGGATATCCGCCCATATAGGAGGGAAAAAAAGAAAAAGCAAAGAAAAAATAAAATAAAAAATAAAATAAAAAATAAAATAAGGGCCTTAATAAAAACCCAGTTTTTCCTGTGCCCAGCACACGCCGATTCCGCGTTTGAGTGTGTTTTTTAATCAATTTTTTACCACTTCTTTTTCATGTTTTTTTGAAATTTTGAATTTATTCCCTAGTTTTTAAAATGCATAGAACTTTGAGGTAATATTCAATTTCTTTAAAAATCAAAGGATCACTTTGAAAATTCCAATCAAACATATTTTTTCAATTAATTTCTTACAGCTTGTTTTGAAAAATAAGTGGTAAAAAATTAATTAAAAAAAGAAAAAAGAAAAAAAAAATTGAAGGCTTGCAGGCTGCAAGGACTTCAAAATTGCTGTTTATGCAGCTCCCAAAATCTGAAATTTCCCCAAGGAGCATTCATTTTGCACCCTAGGGGTCATTTAAGGGGCGGATATCCGCGGATATCCGCGCGGATACCCGCCAGCGCCAGCGGATACCCGCCAGCGGATGCGGATGCGGATGCGGATGTCTGATTTTGCTGAAAACGTGAGCGGATATCCGAATCCGAACGGATATCCGGATGCGCCGGGGCCAGCTCTAAACTATTCTAAGCGAGGATTTCACCAGATTCTTTGACGAAACGTATGGGAGTAGTGGATCGATTGTAGCATCGGACTTCTTTGGAGAAACCGAATTGAATGCATTGGTTGGAAAACTTGATACCATTGCAACTGAGCAAGACATTCGGCAGGCGATCAGAGGGCAGCTAAGAGTCCTGATGAGTTCGATCAAAAGGTTTCGGAGCACATTTGCAGCACCTCAGGCAAAGGAACGATCAACAAAGGGCGGCACAGCTAATAGACAAACAACTTTGAGATCAACTGCAAATCCTAAGGAAGCTCAACTGAAGAGCACTGGTGGGACTCGCAGGAGAGCTAGTGCAGAGGAAATGTTGGAAAGAAAGAAACTTGCAGCCGAACGCGCAGAGGTTCGAGCAGCTAAAAAGTTTAAATTGGCACAGGAAGAAGAAGCAAAAGCAAAAGCTAAGAAAATTCGGGATGCAATAAGGGACGAGTTAAAAGAGAATACATTTAGTATAGATTTTTGGT